CTGCAACTGTCCAGGGTCAAGAAGGCAGATTATCACTAGAGTGCCATCGGTTAGGGGGACTGTACAGACCCTGGAGGGTCCAGCCTCCTGATGATGTACTGAAATTTTGATATGAAAAAATCAGTTGTAGCACAGCCCCCCAATTTTTTGTCATTTTTTTGGTCCTTTCTCCCTTTCTATTCGTTTTTTGTCCACTTGCTCCTTTCTGCCACGTTTTTTGCCCTTTTGTCCATTTTTTCCACCTGAAACAGTTTATCTCTGTCCTACTGCCGCAGATTGAAGAGGCGACCATAGGCGCCGCCAGGCGGCCCTTCTGTGACTATAAGCTGAACTTGGGGATTAATGGCAACAGTGCGGCGCTGGATGACAGGACTGCTATTTCAGTCTGATTTGCTGGCTTTCTTATCGGGGTTAGTTTGAGTTTGAAATCCTTATTGGGGTGTGTGGGGAGGGTGAATGACTTGCAATGTTTTTTGCGGGGTGATGATGGTTAACGGGGGGTTGTGTTACACATTTTGCTGCAAAATGGTTGACTACAGGACTCGAAAAAGGAGGAGGCCGATAAGGCGATTCGCATGGGAGATCAGCATCAACAGGTCATTCTTGTGTTCCCTCTTTTTTTTACGGCCCTTCTCCCCCCCCCCCCTCCACCTCCCCTCCTGTCTCCCCGTCTTCTTTTTTAATAACAACTTTACTGCATATCTTCCCTCCCCCTGTGTAGCATGCTGAGGCCTGTACACGGGCCCTTTTTCTTAGGGCCCGATGGTGCAACCTGGAGGCCGACGGCCATTTCCAGGCCAGGCACGTTTTTCTGCTTCATGCAGGTTCTTTTTTTTGATTCAGCATTTTTTTATTCCCTTATTTTAAGTTATTCATCTTTTTGCTGAGTTTTGCTGTCTTTTTCAGATTCAGCATTTATTTATTCCCTTATTTAGCTTTTTGCTCAGTCTTGCTGTCTTTTTTTCGATTCAGCATTTATTTATTCCCTTATTTATCTTTTTGCTGAGTCTTGCTGTCTTTTTTCGATTCAGCATTTATGATTTCTTTATTTATCTTTTTGCTGAGTCTTGCTTTCTTTTTTGATTCAGCGTTTATTTATTTCTTTATTTGCTGAGTCTTGCTGTCTGGTCCATTTTTGTTGGTTCCAGGTATGTCACCTCAGACTTTCCCCTAATAGGAAGGGCCTGGTTTAGCAGCAGGATACCACCAGGAGGAGAATTTGCGCCTGCATTCAGGGCCTTCGATCGTATCTTAGATCTGACGCTCCGGGATGCAGACTGTGGACTGCCCAGCCAGGCCCAACACTATATCTAGTGGGAGGGCAGAGTCCAGTTCGACAGATTTCAGTTGGGCAACATTGTGAGCATCACGATGTTCGAGCAACATGCGACTCTGGAGTGCTGCGCTAGAGGTAGAGGTAGAGGAGTAGGATGTAGTGGGAGAGTGGAGGCTGGAGCTCCATAGCTGCTGGTTGGAGGACAACTTACCTGGGCGCCATAGCTTGGACTGCAGTTCAGCGACCTGCACCAGAGGGTGCCATTCCGCCAGTCAGTGCCGGCAGGACTTCAGCAGCAGCAGGTGAGGGAGAGACAGAGGAGACTTCTCTTCTTCTTCTTCTTCTCCTTCTTCCTGCCTCCAACCTCCATGGTCACTATTCTCCTTCTTCTTCTTCTCCTTCTTCCTGCCTCCAACCACCATGGTCACTATTTCTCTTCTTCTTCTTCCTCTCCTTCTTCTTCAGAGAGAGAGAGAGAGAGAGAGAGAGAGGTTACAGGCAGAGCTATTATGGGCTATGAGGCGCAGGATCTGATTTGACATTCTTGGGGCAGACATTGGTTGGACACTAGACAGGGGGACTACTTTTTTGACAGCAGTGTACTCGACTCTGATCTACACCCTCGCCTCCATCCTTGTCTCGCTCCTTTCTCTCCCATCATCTGTGGCATACCTTGCATGTGTGTGCTCAAGGAGGGACATTTTCTTCCGTGTATGCGGCCTCCCTTCTCTCTCACATGTGTGATGATGATGGTATGAGTCGGGTCTATGCATTTAGTCAGGTCGTATGTTTGAGTCTTCCGCTGTGCTACATTGTATCATTTTATGATTATACGGATACACATTGTCTCTCTGATGTCATCATCTATGCCATTGATCTCATTGTGTACGTCTGAGTCCTTATCATCACCTCACTGGTCCTCTTGCTCCTTTGCATTGCTCACCTTGTCTATGAGCATGCATCACCCTGTGTTTGCCTTCGCCTCATATTGGCAGCATCATTATTACAGAGGGTGCTTGGCAATGCTTGCTTGTTTTCCATTTTTTTCATGCTCCCCCCCCACCCTCACCGACTTTTCTCCCCTTTTCCACCCGTTTCCCTCCCCTCCCCTCTCCCCCCCGAAGGGTTTTTTGTCCCCTCCACAAAGGAAAGGAAAC